TGGGAAGGGCGGGAGCATCCGGGCCCCCCCTCCCAGCCTAACCCTGCTGGGGGTGCCACCCCCGCCTGCACCGGGGAAGCGCGGAGCCCTTCGCTCATCCCGCGCTGGCAGGACGGGGAGAGCTCCCGCGGGCAAGCCGGCGAACTCACTGCAGTGCGCCGCCGGAGCGGCCTGCCTGCGCACTCCCACACTTGTCCCCCGACAGCCCACTGCGGCCAAGAACAGTCATCCGAACAGACCTGCCCTTACAGGGGTTTTACTTTTAAACAAATAACAGACGATACAAAAAAAACCCCACAGCATTTCACACAGGCAGGAAGAGCTCCCGCGGGCAAGCCGGCGAACTCACTGCAGTGCGCCGCCGGAGCGGCCTGCCTGCGCACTCCCACACTTGTCCCCCGACAGCCCACTGCGGCCAAGAACAGTCATCCGAACAGACCTGCCCTTACAGGGGTTTTACTTTTAAACAAATAACAGACGATACAAAAAAAACCCCACAGCATTTCACACAGGCAGGAGTACTTTAAAAAGAGAAAATACAGGCTGAAAGTCAGGAGACACTTCCCCACCTGAGATACTGACTAGTCTTCCAAGGAAAGATTCACTACTTGACATTTGCAAGTAAGCCCTTAGTAGAAATACAATCCATCACTAACAGAACACAATCTGGTAGGGTACTTAAATAACTTTTATTCAATCTATAAAGTATCAAATATCGAGCATGTTTATTTCCTCTGCCACTCTGTAATAGTCTACAGATTAGGCTGCATTTTTCCTGGCAAAAACCCTCCATATTATTTCTCCATCTACATATAATTTATACAGCTCTAATATGGCACTTTAAAGGACACAAGCCAAATTTTCTGTCCCTAAATCTATGGTCTGAAGAGACCAAAAGCTCCCCAAGCTTGCACTTGATAATTATACCTGAGACCGCAAGGTCAACATAAGAATAGCCATACCTGACCAGACCAACGGTCCACCTGACAGTGGCCAATTCCAGGTTTTTGAGGGAATGGAAAAAAACAGCTAGCCAGGACGAGTCCTCACCTAGTTAACTGGAGTGAGTTTCTATGCCACTGGAGTATTTTCACTTGGTAGATAATCCTTAGGGTTGCTACAGTTAGTCCAGTTTAAAGCAGAAACTCACGGCTCAAAACTACTCTAGGCCAGCATGTAGCTGACTTCAGAATCTGAGAACTATCATTTGCTCCTCTGTGGGCTCCTTCTGTACCCAGAAGAAAACTTAGCCCAAGACATTTCTTGTACAGAAAAGTTTGTAATTTAAGATAAACAAAACCAGAGAACAATTTGGAGGTATGGAGAGATTACTGGCGAAAACTCAGTTTGTTAAACTGTACTGAATTTTATAACGTGAAATAAAATATTTCATCCTAAGTTGCTCTGGTGGAATAAAATGTTTGCTTCAGCACCAAGACTAATGACTTAAGACTAGGTATAATGCTAATAACTAAAAATAAAATCAAGACACCTGCATTTAACTCTGCACATTGCCATGTACCAATTGTGTTCAGAATACTTCAGCCAGATGAACTCATGTAACATGACACAGAGCTATGCTAAACTGACATTTTCAAGTAAGATTGTTCATAATTTATCAAATGCCTGAACAAAAGTCAAATTATCATCTTTATCAATTTTGTAATTTAATCAAAAGAGCTATCAGATCATCTACTCTGTATAAATCCATGCTATTTATTGGTATAGTTTACAGATTATTTTAGTATTTAACATGTTATTTTACTAGATACGCATCAATGTTAGTCTCAGGATATTAGTAACACTATCTTGAATGATCCCTTAGACTCTATGCTAACTATATATGGCAAACAATCTGTCCCAGCTTGTGTTTTTGTGAAGCTGGGAGTATATTTCCCAGAGCGGAGAGCTCTGTATAAGCTCAAAACCGTGTCTCTCCCCCCAACCCAAGATAGTTCAATAAAAGATATTACTTCAAATACCTTTTATCTCTAATTTAGTATTTGCCACAGCAATACAACATATAGTTGTTTAGCAAACAAGGCTTCAGCACTACCCTCCTTATCGTAGCTCTCATTAAAGCTTCAACATGGAAGTTACAGTACTATAATTATGCTCTCTATACAGATGACTTTTTTTTCCTCCAGTAAGGTTAATTATGTACATTTCTGGCTCTCAAGAGCTACTCACTTCCACTGCGAATTTACAGCAGCACAGTTACTTTTATTGTGAAGGTTCTGTTGTGTTCCCTGCCAGCAGAAGCCAATGATGTTCAAATGTGACAATATTTGGCAATGTTCAGGCACGTAGGCCTGTCTGACTTTTCCATGTGTTCCCCCTAAGGAACAATCGTCAGGGGAGACGAACAGTAGAAACTTAACAAATAAGCCTAAAGTTTTCTATTGCCATGTTGCAAAAATACCTGTTCAACAAAAGAAATGGTCACCAAAGTATTGGCAACAGTGGAAACCACTGGAACATTTTGAACATCTCTTATTATGAACTACAGCCATATTCCCTCGAGTGTTTCTTCGAGCAAGACTAAGATGTATTAGGTGTTTTTGTTTTTAATGAATCAGCAGATGGTCCAGTAAACACCTAAACAGGCTCAGTTTCCCAGAAATGTATTTATAGGAGAGTTTTGTTTTAAAAAAAAAAATACACCTATTAAAGCTTCTTTGAAAACTCTCCTGTCATGAGCACTGTAACAATTGCATGAGTTCCCACAATTTGAGACTTCATTCCATTGAGAGTTGCACGCTGTCGGTCTGTTTCTGTGGCTGCTGCTGGTCATACTTCCTTGCTGGAAAAGAGTTAAAACATAAATTATGTTATCCCTTATATTCTATTAGAGCATGGTGATCACTGGGAAAGTTAGTTTAATAGGAAGAGAAGCTCTTGCATGAGACCAGTGTTGGTCTGCAATTAAAATAAATGTTTAATTGAAGGAAAACTACTGATTTCACAAAATTTCCAAATCATTACATTTAGAGGCAGAAACTGCTAAACAAAAAATCAGAGGTTACAGTCTACTTAAATTGACTGGGTGCAACAATCCTTTATGCCACCATTTTTTAATTGAAGGCAGCAGCAAAGAATGCAAATATATATACACAACAATGCTGGAAAGATTGTGTGGGCATGAATGAATCTATTACAACTTGTAACATATTTTAGCTAGTGAGAATATTAGCTAGAGAGAATTTAGCCATACTATCTGTGACTAGTTCTAGACACTAGTAAGAAAAAAAGGATTTGCCAAGTTTATTAGCAGGTGAAAACTACCAGTTTAAGATGTAAGCAGCTTTTAATATGCCAAATGTAACCATGAAACAGTATTTCAGACTGAGATGATATATAAAGATAGCCCATAACTTCAGAAAGGATGGGGCAGTTAGATACTCAATCCAGTTTACATGTTCTCGAAATCAAGAGGGTAGACTTAAGACATCCTAATGAAAGACAGGAGAGATGAAGAGTTGTCACCCTAGATGGGAAGAGAAATGTCTGGGATACATCCCGAAATCTTTCAGAGAAATGTGCACAGAAAGGAGAGTGCACCCCCCCTAAATTTTTCTAAATTACCTATGTAACTTCAAAAGCAGTGAAAATACTACCACAACTAATGGTGCTGAGAAACTGATTCCAGTTGGCTGAGCTAGCTAGTTGACAGTGATCAGAAGTGGCATTACTGGATACAGATTTGAAAGCAGAAGTTACCATCAGCCTCAGCTGTACATAGGAGAATGCAGGATGAAAGCGGTTTCAGAACTACACCAGTAGGTCCGTACAGAACCACAATGGCTCAATACAGTTAGTCAATTTCTCTCCAATGACAATCCCAATGGATATGCCTTTCTGGGACTGTCTCCTGTGGAGACATTGCTCATTTACTGCTATTGACCCACTCATCACTGAGACAGTACTGGCAAAATCTATGCTACCAATTTATAAATAACTGGAAGTTACAAAGAATGTAAAGTTATGGGTTCCACCGGCAATTTAAGTGATACTCTTGCACACTTTTGGTATATTTTATTATTGTAGATGGTATTTGAAAATATCAGTTAGGGCTATATGACCATGGTGACCATGGGGTGAAGAATCTAAAGAAAGTACTTTCTTCTAACAATTCTTTTCAGAAGGTATTAACTGTAATAGATGCACGCACTTGGGTTTTGTGCTTCCCGTCTAAAATCAGCTGAGAACTCACATACCTGCAGAGTTTTAAAGGATGCTAGCTCCCAGTGTAGTGGCCTCCCTGATAGTTCTAACAGCCCTAGAAGTTTGGATCATTCACTATATACTGAAGTTTGGAGTATCAACATAAACAAACTTATCTCCAACACTGCAGGGAAAGCAGCTGGAAGTTGACAAGAATCTATTACAACTTGCATCTTTTGAAAAAAATTCACCCATCCCACCTATAGCATCAGTTGTAAAGTAATCCCCCTCTGGAGATATGAAGTTCAAAGAAGTCTCTGAAAAAAGAAAAATAGCATCCATAATATCAATGAACAGAAATGTTAAACTGACAATTGCCGTTTTCCAGCACCAGCTCATAGGAGTGCTTATACATAATCCACTCCTGGAACCACCATCATAAATACTTCACATCTACTATGGAAATAGCCCATCATTCTCCAGCTAACTGTGGGGAAGCAGGGGCAAATATCAACCCTGCGTATATCACCACCAGAAAACACGGAAGTGTTTTCTAGAAACAGAATTATTTTCCTATAAAACAAGAACTTCTAAAAATTAAGTGCTCAGAGGAACTAGATCTGAATGACCCCACCACACCAGAAGATATGACAGACACTGACCCAGTCTCTCTTTAATTTAGGAACCAGAGTTCATTATAAAAAGATCAGTTCAGCTAGCTTGCAACTGTGCTGTTCTTACCAAGAGAGTTACTCAGGATTATGATGGGCCCATCAATGGCTATTAGCCAAGATGATCAGGAATGTAACTACATGCTCAGACACTGGCCTGACCCAGGATGGTCGTTCTTGTGTTCTTAGTTTGTGGGACACTAAACATTCCCACACCAGAAGGGCAATAGGATATGGAAGATGTGATCCTTTCCTTCCTTGCTCATTCACAGATAAAATGGTGGCCTGATTTGAGAATTAAAACTGCCTTTTAGACTCAAGGACTCAAAAGCACTAAATTTTTCTTGGTCTTCCACAACTGTGTAAGGTTATTGCTCATTGGGGTGGGGAAATGCCATCAGGGATCCTTTGAGGCTCACTGATTTGGAGGGTATGCCTGAGATGGACCAAGTGACAGCACAAACCCATGGAGCGCTCCTCTGCCACACTCCCTTCTAGCCTCCTATGACAATATGAGGGCAGCTGGTGCAACTCTGACAGCTATCTACCAGTGAAGAACTTCCCAACACAAGGGAAATTCTCCAATAACTATTTACAGCCACATCCCACTCCACTTGTGCCATCGGAATAGATGCAGTTGGTATTGTAATAAAGAACTGGAAACTCCTGTTGGTGCATAGTAAAATTTCCATGGAAGCAAAGTTAGCCCTTGAGTTCTCCTGAACATCAGTATCTAGAGGTCAGACTAGATGATCATAATTGTCCCTTCTGGCCTCTAGAGCTATTTCTAGTTACCATATTAGATGCATTTTTAAGTCCTAAAATACCCATAAAGTAGAGGCCTGATTCTGTATTCACTTATGGCTAGATCCTGCAATATGCTGCACATGGTGAATTCACACTCTGCTATTGATGTTTCCATATTTCAGGATCAGAGCCTTAAATGAGAGTTGCACATGTAAGGGGACACAACTGAGCCCTCCTATTTTCTATTAGTTTCTGACAAGGTAGAACCTTGCCCCAACTGGCATAGAGTGCAATTGGTGTAAGATACTGGGTTTTGTTCTGTTCATGATACAAACAGCTATGGTATCCAAATGCTTATTCCATTTTAACATATGAATCTTTGACTGTTCAGAAATCTGAACATCTCAGAGGGCAGAAGACAATCTTACCAATGGAATACATCTCTAATTGTTGTCGTAAGCGGATTTTTTTCATGCTATCATAAAAATCTGGTTCCAATGGAGCATCTGCTGTAGGAGGCAGAGTGAATATTCGCATGATCTTCCTTTTATTCCTAAAATACAGAAAAGAAAAATAACAACTTGCAACATGATATATTTACATGTATTTCAAAAAGATATCTTCCAAGGTCTTTACTTCCAAGGTCTAGTTTAATTGAAGTGACACACTTTTTCTCATTAAAGAGTATACTGAGAAGGATGGCATCTGCTATTAAGTGCTGATCAGTAGCCATTTCTAGGGAAATGGTCCATAACACCTCCCATCCTTTCCCTTTGCTACATGTTTTGTCCCTACCTTGACAATTGTGCTGTTTTTGGATGTAATCCCTCATCTTCTTCCTCTCAGTCCATGTTCTATTCCTCCCCCACTATCCTTTTTCAGTACTGCTCTTCCCCTTTACCCTTACCACTGTGTCCCTTCTCTGTTTCTTCCCGATGAACCATTAAGGTGAACGCAAGCACATATTCTAATACAGTTTGTGCGCCTTCTCCTTCCTCGAACTACTGAGGGTGCATGGGCTAGGGGGTCACTCAGGGTCTACATGGGGAATCCACCCCAGCAATCCTTTCTCCCTTAGAAAAAGTTCCATGCTTTTCCCACATGCAACAACCCTCCAGATTCACTTTTAGACTCCTTTCTTCTCTCTGAGCTCTTCCATTACCCCTTGTTTCCTGAAGATTTCGCACTCCTCCTGAGGGGTGCAAGAAATAGACTCCTGTATTGTGCCTAAATCAATAATTATTATCGACAGTTTTGTACTAATAGGCCTAATCCAAAACAGGGATGTAACAGTTTAACTGGTTAACCAACAAGCATTAGCTTATCAGTTAATCACTTAGGGTTGCCAGATGGTTTCAATAAAAGTACCGGACACACATCACACTCTACATTACATCTTATTTAGAAAATACTGGACATTTATATTTTCTCAATTTCTTTCCTGAATAGAAAGCTCAAATACTGAACTGTCCAGTTCAAAACTGGACACCTGGCAACCATAAAGTGGTTGAAATCCCGGCCCACCGCTGGCAGCCCACGGAACATGTAACTGTATAAACACACTGAATTGCAATCGGTTACATAGCTAGTGGGTTTTAAAAAAACCAAACATTTATACCCAAGCCAGGAACCTATGTGTCACACCACCATTTCCTGGATATTTGTTTAAGGAGGAGACGGGTTGGGCGGGCAGCGCCCTGTACGGTTGTGTCACACACGCACGGATGGTTGTTTTGAAATTCACCCTCCCGCTCATGGCCACTGGCGTGAGGCGGCCAGGCAATGTTTCTGGTGCGCAGCCCCCCGTGACCCATAGGCAGAGGGGCCCAGCTGGGCCCAGCTCGCAGCACCCACCGGCGCGCGTAGACCAGCAGTGCCAGGCTGGCAAGCACTACCAGCAGGTAGACGTTGGTGGCCTCGTTCCAGGCCTCGTGCACCGTGTAGTCGATGGCACCGTTGTCGCTCAAGGCACCGCCGCCGCCACCAGCACCGGCTCCCGCCTCTGCCATAGAACGTGGGGGCAACGCCTCGCCCCTGCCCCACACACGTGCAGGAAGTGAGGTCACAGGTTCCGCAAGACACTTCCGGGGGCAGAGCTGCTCAAGCTTTGAGAGGTGGGGTGGGACTTGGAGCTCCTTCAGGGAACTGCGGCCAGCCCAACCTTTTTAAGGTGGTGCTCGTGGCAGTTAGTGCAGCTGCGCTTCCCACCAATTTCCAGTGCGTGCACCACCTGCTCGTTTCTGGGCACTCAGACACAGCCCCTCACTGTCCCCACAGAGAGCAAAGTCCGATGGCACCTGGGCGGGAACAGTCTCCCCTCTTTGGCCCCCCCCAACTCTCAGCCTTGCGCTGCGGCTGGGTCCGGGTCCCTGCCTGACAGAGACATGGAAGATGCTGAGGTGGCTTCGCTGCGGTGCTTTAGTTGCGAAAGGCGGCCTGGTGCTGAAGGGCCGCAGAAGAGACAGGTCCAGCAAGAGGCAGTGGCCAGGAGACGCAGAGACCCAGCTGGGATGACTCCCCTGGGAGCCGCTGGATCCTCCACCTCTTGACGGGGTTTAATGACGACTCGGTGTCTTTCTGGCCAGTGCTGGGTGACACACTAGCCCCTGTGCCAGAGCGGTGCTTTACTGAGGGCAGATTAGAGGCTCCAATGGGCCCTTCCGCCCCGAGTCTCCTAACTGATGAAGGACAGTGTGTGGAAGCCTTTGATGCGCTATGGGTAGCCTAATGGATCCACAGCCATCGCGTGGGGACAGCCCCAGGGAGCCGCTTCAGCATCCAGAGCAGCTGGCCAGGGCCAGGACAGTTGCCTAGCAGTGGAGGAGCGGGGGTGGCAGTGACATCACAAAGGTCTTTGGCAGGACCTCGGGTCGAAGCCGGTGGGGAGGCGGTGACCTCACAGAGAGACTCTGACGTCACCCAGGCAGGACAGAGGCAAGGGGCCAGAACAAGTTCAGAGACATAGACACTCCCCCTTGGCTTTGCTTCAGCACGTCTCCTTCTTGAAGTTTCTCCTTGAGGACCCAGAGAGCGTTCTAGTGCATTTATGTGAATACCAGGAAGAACTGACGAATTTTCTCCTTTCCCTTGCTTGATTTTCCCCGTTCAGAAGGTAAGAGTCTCCGAGAGATTTAGGACCCATTCAGGCTCATCCATCTGGTGTCTGCTGAATTCTAGGCATGGAAAAAACTAGATTGAAAAGGCAGAATTTTATTTCCCACCTAGGACTCGGTCTCTTAGAATCACTGGGGAAGTTGGAGTTTTTCATTTTTGGTTTCCCTTTTCCTCCATCCTTTCCTCCTTTTGTTGCTTCTTTTGCTTTTTCCTTGCTTCCCTCCCACTGCCAGCAGTGTGTGTGGGGGAAGGGGATTGGTCTCCCATTTTCATTGTGGGAAGGAGCAGCAACTCCCTAGGTTACTTCATACTGAAGGAATCCCTGGGTGGGGGTTGTCAGAAATGTGGGGTATGATCTTCCCGGGTCCCTGAGGTGGCAAGGTCATTAACTCTGCTCTACCCACTGTGCCGCCATCCTTCCCCTGAGTGGCAACAGGAGCCACTCTGTCCCTTCCCTCCCTGGCGCAG